GGTTTTAAAGTTCCTTTTAACATGGTGGTTTATTTTCCTCGCCTCCCCTTCTGGGTAATACCTCTCCGTTGGGGGCATATGTATTTTTCTTTAAACAGATCTTTGCATTTTTTTCCACCTTAATTACATGTGATAGAATGCTTAGGTACGTTAGTGGTCGCTTTGTGCTTAAAAATTATTTTATTACATTTTAAACTAAAACATTAAAATCCGGGTTGCCCGGGGCAAGCACCAGAGGGCCCGGGCCCCAGGGGCCCTGGGCTCAGGAGTAGAAAAATTTTCTCAAAACTCTTAAAAAGGTTTATCAAAGGAGGGGAGTTCCATTTTGGTGTTTGCAGATTTCCAAAGGGTTTTTTCCTGATATATTCGTGATAAGGTCTTTCAGTGACCCCCTTGGTACAGATTCCTGTACCAAAATACACTTATTAAACCCCCTTCGGGGCCCAAGGCCCAAAAACCCTAAAGGGGTGCCCGGGTTTGTCCAAAAAAATTTTAAAAAAAAAAAAAAAAAAAAATTTTTTTCTTACAGAATTAAAGAGCATTTTTTTGTAAAGGTTTAATAGACAAAAAAAAAAATTCCGATCACTTACCGGGGTACAGTGCCCAAAAAGTTTTTCAAAAATGATGTGGTGGCGGCAACATTGCGAATTCCAATAGGGGGAAATTTCAATATTTAAACGGTTTTTTATAGTTTTTTCTTTTTTTTCCAAATTTTTTTTTTATTCCTACTAACTTTTGGGGGCTGAGAGACCAATACTGTAATAAAGAAATATATAAACTCACGTATTGGGAAAACAATAACCGCACTAAAAATTTTTTATCATAAATTTTTTTTTCCACTGTTGTTTATTAAAAATAAAAAATGCACAAATATTGTATAATATAATGTTCTATCTATATTTACATATTTACAATCATGGAATGGTTTTTGGGGCCTGGAGTTGTGGAACTTTCCTTTAAAAAAGGCAAACCCTGCACGAGGCACCCTTTCAATTTCCCCCACACATAAACCCTGTTTTTTGCGTCTTTGTTGCCCTCGTTTTGTTTGTGAAAAGACAAAACATTCTTCTGACAAAAATTTTTTCTGGTTGAAGGGAAAAAGTATTATGAAATGATCACCTTCCCCCCTCAAAACCCTTTGGGGATTCCTGAGTTTAAATTTGAGGGCCTTGTTGTATACAGGGGGTTCTTACCTTGGGACTTCATTATTTAAATTGTTTTGAAAAACAGACAAAAAAAATTCACCAAACGGTGGTCTGTTTTCCCGTTTTATTTGGGACAAATTATATGCCTTTAGCATTTTAAAAAAACCAGAGAAGGAAAAAAAGTTTCATTTTCCCTTGTTTAATCTTAAAAAACCCGTCAACAAAACCAAACGCCTGTCACAATTTTTTCCCCCAAGCAATGTTTTGTGAAAAATCAAACAATGTCCTGGTTTTTCGAAAACGGTTTATTTTGTCCTCGAACAACTTTTTCCATGTCCTTTCATTTTAAATTTCGGTTGAATGGTTGTCAACAAAGTGGGCCCTCTCGTTTGTCCCTGGGCCCCCCAAAAGCCATGATTTTCATTGGGAGTAAACACCTCCAAAGTTTAAACACCCCGAGCACCTGCGTTGAGCCCCGGGGAAATGTTTACGATTAGAAAAGCACGTGCCCCACACAACTGTCTTTTCACTGCATGAAAACACTGATAATAGGCTTGTTTACCTTTTATCGGGATATAAGTTTGCCCCTTAAACCAAAATAAAGGGGCCCTCATGTTTCTCACTACTCACCTGAAAATACCCAATAACATCCTTTTGGGAAACTTTCAATGTTTTTCCCCCGTTTATACAACAAAATCCAACAACCCGGCCACTGTCATCACGAGTACAAAAAGTTTTTTACCCAAAACTTTCCCCCTTGCTCGGGATATTTCTTTCTTGAATGACAGTCACCTTTGAACAAAAAAAAGACTCGTTAATTCAAGATTTTTTGAATTTGGTAAAAATATATGGCCCGAACTTTTGTTTTTAAAAAACATGAAAACATTTCTAATTTTATAACCTGTCACTTCTGTCCCGGCCTGGTTTTTTTCAGAGAAGTGGAACATACGAAAAAGTAAGATAAACCGTTCACCCGGTTTATTTCATGAAACCCCGGGGGGGGGAAAATTTTGCCTGACGTGGACCCAAAATGGGGCCCTTTTTTAAATGTTATGACCCTGAGGCATAACATTATTGTTTTCAAAAAAAACAAATCATTTCTGCCAAAAATTGTCCTTTCCACCCGTGTAGTCTTTACGTGGTTTAATGATCTAAATTTTCCATGGTGAAATCAAAAATACTTAAAAACTTTCCCTGACAAAAGTTTCCCTAAATGGCTGGTCCCAAAAAATAATTTTAAAAAAATTCCAGTTTTATTGGCCCTGGTTTTTCCAAAGGGGGCAAGAGGGAGAATTCCCCTTTGAGAGTCATCAAAGTGTGAGGTTGGGGAAAAAAATTGGGTTTTGCTTTCCAATCCCCCATCGGTTTGCTTGGGAGGGTAAAGGACATAAAAGGTGGTTTTTGGGGTTTTTGTGGTTGTGGGGGGCTGGGGGCCTGCGCTTTCCCCTTTGGGCCCTTTAACGACAAGTCGAGCGTGGGTCCCACCCTGGGCCCGGTGAGTCACGCATGGCGGGCCCCTACCATCACCACAAAAACCCATCCCCCTGAACCGTGGTCTATCCATGCCCAAATGTTTGCCACATCATTTCCCCACTAACACTACCTAAAACTGGGTTTTAAAGGGGCCCCGGGATGTAACCCTTCCGGGATGTACTCCGTGATGTTAATCCGCCCCTGGGCACTGCTAGGGTTAAAACTACCCGGGGGCCCTGCGGCGGCCAAAAAATACCGACGCTTCCCCTGGTGGGAAAATGATTCCCTCATATCACTAATTTGAAAGATCGCAGCGCAATAAAATCCAATCCCCGGCACTATCATCATCATTATGAAAATCAGGGCCTGGCCATGCGAAAATTTTTAGTTTTCCTTGCGTTGAGGCACAACCCCCCGTGAGTCACGAGTTTCCCAACCAGAGGTAGAAGGGGTTTAGGATCATCAGGGGTTTTTTGCACCCATTTTCGATATCCTGGGCATTCTTTTTGGTCACTAACTGATCAAAGCCGTTGAAAATTCCCCTTTTATTTTTCCCCTTCCATCAGTGTCAGAAAATATCAAAATAGGGGAGGAGAGTCCCCTTTTTCCCGGGGGGTGAGAAACTGAAATTGCGACGAGGCATTGAACAAGGTAACTGAGCCCGGGTTCCCACAATTTCCAAAGCGGGGGCCCCAGGGTTTTTTTTTTATGGCCCACCCACCACGCAGACCCCCCTTCTCTCACAGTAGGCCAAAGAGCGCTTTCGCGCTAAATTTGGGCGGGGCCCAGAATTTTGGTGAAAATCTTCGGTTTGGGGCACTCAACTGAAACCGTAGATCCCACGGGCCCGGGCCCCGAAAAGGGTTTAAACTGAAAATTTTCCGGGTTTTCATTTTTCCCAAAACTGTTATGCTCTTGATGTGGGCTTCAGGCGATATGCTTGGAGCTGTGCTCACCCTGAGGTCCTCTTTCAGGGAGGTTTGCAATCTTTTTTCCCTGAGCCTCTGCACTATTTCTGGTCATCTTTGCCATTCCCTGATTTTCATAACTATACCTTTGCTAGTTTAAGTTCTAACAGCCACTTGTCATAACAGTCCTGCAGCCGTCCAGATCCATTTGTGATCTTTCCTGGTCTGCTCATGTTTATATTCTCAGGTTTCACATCATCTGTGAACAGGGACACCTTTGTCTCTTCTCTCGTGTTGTTCACATAAGAAATAGTACTGGTCCAAGTACTGCCCCTTGTGGAACTCCACTCATCAAACTCGCCCATTCCCACAAATCCTCCTAGGTAATAAATCTTTGCTTCCTTTCTGTTAAGTCTTATTTACTCCAGTGTAACATTTTCCCTGTCATTCCAGCCTACTCCTCCATCTTTTGTCCAAGTCTCTTATGGGGGTACTGTCAAATACCTTCTTACAGTCCAAAAATATACAGTCCACCCATTCTCTCTCTCCTCTCTAACCTTCATTACCTATTAAACTTGTAAGATGTAATTTGCCTCCTCCAAAATCATGCTGGCTTTTACTTATGAATCTACTGCATTCCATGTGCTCTGCTGTTCTTTCTAATAACCTTCATAACCTTACATACAGTAGTATATGTGTTAACGACACTGGCTTGTCTGCCCCTTTTTTTAAAATATCAGGATCACATTCACTGTTTTTCCCTACCTCTAGCAGCTGCCTTGTTTCAGTCGACTTATTAAAGATTGCTGCTAGTGGTTCATTCAGTACTTACACTTCCTCTCAGAACCCATGCAGCGATGTTGTCTGGTCACCTCGTCTTCAAAGTATCTAGCTCGCTCGGCAGTTTCATCATCTGTTGTGTGAAGTATGTCCAGTACTTGTTGGTACACACTACCTCTGATTCAGTATCAGTGTTCCTTCCTAATCCCATTAAGAATAAGAATACTTTCCTAAATCTTTTATTCAGCTCGTCCAGACTGTCTGGTCATTCCAGAACTCCCCTCCATCCTGCCTCAGCCTTATTACCTGGTGTTTCACCATTGCTATATTGCTGATATGGTTGTTTAGCAGTTTTGGCTCATATTTGACTTTTGATGCTATGTTGTTCTCACATTTTTATTGAGCCTCTTCTCACCCATTCATATTGATTTCTTGTACTTTTGCTTGCTTCCCTGTACTCAGATGTTCTTTTTCTTTATTTTTGTATGTGTTCCTGCATGGTGTTGCTGTTACACAGCTTTCACTGTCCTCATGCATGGTGTTACTGTACTAGCTGTCACTGTTACACAGTTGTCAGTCTTCATACATAGAACAGTGACTCATAAGCCACTGCTTGTATTATTTTTTAGATTTTGTGTGAGGTGCATCTTATGAGTGAGATGCGAGTAATGAACCCCAGTGGAAGTGAAGACCTTAAGAAAGATTCTGTGGTACTGGTGAAGGGCTCTTGATCAAAAGAATTTCACCTGTCCTCCAGTCACTGTGAATGTTATAGTTGTAATGCTTTGTACTAAATATAATAACAATAATGATGGAAATAAAGGTAAATATTGAGTTTAGAAGCTTGACCTCATTTCATGAGAATTTATACTTTAGTAATAATTAATTACTTGGATTGTATCTGTCTTCTCATGTGTAAAGAACAACAGGAAATAATTTTATATACAGTGGAACCTCGGTACTTGAACTGCTCCCTACTCGAACAGTTTGGTATTCTTATGCTTTATTCGGTAAAAAAAATTGCTCGGTAGTCGACCGTTTGCTCGGCACTCGGCCAAACAAATAATCTGCCAGAAATTCGCTGTAAACTATTTCGCGTTTCTTCGCATTTTTTGGTGTTTTTTCATATTATTTGTATAAATAAATCACCATGGGGCCTAAGAAGATTAGTGATAACAGCCAACAAAAAAGAAAGCTGGTTGGGAAAAATTCGTTTGGTACTCGAACAGATCGGCACTTGAACAGCCTTCTGGAATGAATTAAGTTCAAGTACCAAGGTTCCACTGTAATTATACATATATCATGCAAACAAAAATGAGATCAATGAAGGTACTGCAAATTATATTACAAATTTTGCTTTCTCTTATGTAGTAGGCTGAATATTTGTTATCAGATTGTATGCTTATAACAGTTTTGTTCTTAATATAACCGTACTGGAGGGGTTCAAGGAGGCCAGAGTTACTCCTATCTTCAAGAAAAATAGTAGGTCTGATGTAAGCAACTATAGGCCTGTTAGTATACTCAGTATAATATCTAAAATTCTAGAGAGGGCGGTGTATTCTCAAGTAGTTAAGTACCTTAATGACAACAACATTCTCCATAGCTATCAATCGGGCTTTAGAAGATCCTACTCAACCGACACCTCCCTTATTAATCTGATGGATTACCTGAGAACTGAAATGTCAAAGGGGAACCTCATAGGTATGGTAACCTTAGACCTGCAAAAGGCCTTCGATACCGTCAACCACAATATATTATGTAATAAACTTCAAGCTATCGGTATAGGTTCTGTAGACTGGTTTAAGTCCTACCTTAGCAACAGGAGACAAATAGTCAGAATCAACAAAACAGAATCAGAACCCCTGCCGATAACATGTGGAGTTCCCCAAGGTAGTATTCTGGGTCCCTTATTATTCTTATGTTATGTCAATGATATGCCTATCAGTGTCAAGTGCAAACTCCTACTGTATGCAGATGACAGTGCTCTGTTAGTGTCAGGTAAAGACCCACAAGATATTGCTAATGTTTTAACACTGGAACTGGAGTCCTGCAGCAAATGGTTAGTAGACAACAAACTATCATTACACCTAGGGAAAACTGAAGCCATTCTCTTTGGCACGAAACATAAACTGAGAAGGGTAAATAACTTTAATGTTCAATGTAATGGGGAGCCCATCACTTTGGTTTCATCAGTAAAATATTTGGGAATCCCCTTTGACCCATGCATGTCAGGAGAATTGATAGGGAACAGTGTAGTAAAGAAAGCGAATGCCAGACTGAAGTTCCTGTATAGACAAGCACAGTGTCTACCTACTGAGGCTCGCAGGACCTTATGTCTAGCCCTTATACAATGCCATATGGATTACGCTTGCTCTTCTTGGTACTCTGCCTTGACAAAAAAACTGAAAGATAGACTGCAAATCACCCAGAACAAAATCGTAAGATTCATCCTGGGGCTGGGACCAAGAGAACATGTAGGCCAGGATGAATTACAGCAGTTGGATATGCTGAATGTTGAAGACAGAGTAAAAGAACTGAAGCTAAATCATGTTTATAAAATTGCTCACAAACAGTGTCCAGAATATCTTGCTGTCAATTTTGTCAAGGTTGGGAACCAAAGCAATCATAGTAGTACTAGGGGGAGAGAGCACAACTTTGTAGTACCCACAGTCATTGGCCAGGCTTCAAACACCTTTTATTGTACAGCAATAAAGGAATGGAACAGACTACCCGCACATGTCAAAGCCAGTCATAGCATGAACCAGTTCAAGAAGAGTGCCAAAAGGTGTCTGATGAATGTAGCTACAGAAAGGGAGGGGAATGATTTTCTATTTTTTATCTAACATACGTGCAAATTTCACCTTATTCCTAGTAATGACCCTCGTATTGTAGATAGTCTTAATGACCCTCGTGTAGTAGATAGTCTTTTTAGTATGATAATAAGATGTTATCTTCATTATAGAATAATAAGAAAATATTATAACCTTTATTTTTTTTTTTTTTTTTTTTTTCAACAAGTCAGTCGTCTCCCACCGAGGCAGGGTGACCCAAAAAGGAAAGAAAATCCCCAAAAAGAAAATACTTTCATCATCATTCAACACTTTCACCACACTCACACATTATCACTGCTTTTGCAGAGGTGCTCAGAATACAACAGTTTAGAAGCATATACATATAAAGATACACAACATATCCCTCCAAACTGCCAATATCCCAAACCACTCCTTTAAAGTGCAGGCATTGTACTTCCCATAACCTTTATATTATAATAATAAGGTAAAAGGACCCCAATGGAAATAAGTCACTCTGTCTGACTTTTTTGGGTTATCCTAGGTTCTCTACACATATGCTGCTATGTATGATAATTCTATGTAACTGTATTTGTGTATACCTGAATAAACTTACTTACTTATAACCATTATAGTAATTTAAAAGTCCATAAAACATTTTTATATATAACCCAACAGCTTATCATACAATATCTTAATGCCTCTAACTACCAGAACTACCAAAAAAAAAAAAAAACCTGGGAAGTCAGTAATTTATTCAATTTTGCACTATAGTACATTATTTAAAAAAAATCTAATTTAAAAACAGAGTTCAAAACAAACACTGTAGGTATTCTAGCCTCTTAAGCAGTGTTTGAATGTCAAATGGCACTGAAAAAAGGTAATGATCACATCACCTGTGTAGGTTCCACTTACAGGATGGTGTCCTAGTGTCCTACCTGACATATATTCATTAATCATTTCCCCAGGCCTCTCCATACAACACTTGTCTTTCATTTTGAATTTGTCACACAAAAATAAAAAAACATTTTTCCCTGTTTCTCAGTTAATAAACCATAACCAAGAATGCTTGGTTATAGTTTAGGTCATCCCAGGGAGGTAGGCAGGCCTCTTATCCTTCCTTGAAGAATCGTCAAAAATTTGCCACATGTAACACTTCGAAGCCCATTTTGGGCAACGTCTGATCTGAAACCAACCAAAATCTTCTTTTCTCACTAGTATGTCTTTTGGTCTATCAAGTAGCACCAGAAAATGGCCAATAAAACAGTGAAAAACCACCCTCAAAGGCCTCAGTCTCTATTTTAACTCACTCAGGGTCTGTGCCATGGGTATGGCACAGACCCCATTCTCTTGTATGGGCCAAAATTTACCACTCTCTTACTTGAGGATGCTATGATTTACGTGTAGATCTACGTAAGGCCCCAGTCATGTAGATCTACTGTACACGAGATAGTGAAAGGGTTAAGAGATAGTCATAACAAAGACAGTAGTCTCATACTTTTCAGCAGATAATTAGGTCTTACTCATGTACTCTTGCTTTCTTTTTCTGTCTTTTTTTTCTTTCCTTCATATATTGCATCTCAATAATAATAGCAATAATAAAAACCAAGTTTTGTTTTGCCTCTTTAGGAGAAATTTACACATCTGATAAATTTGGATGTGATGAAAGTGGTGATGGCACATCTAGTAAGCCTTACAAAACTGCTCTTCAGGCCATGCGGAAGGCTGGCAAAGAACCATTCCCTACAATATATGTTGATGGCAAGGAAGACCAGGTAAGGAGTACTGTCAGTGCTACTTTAAATGTGTAACAGTTTGGGGCATTTTATCTTGTTTAAGTGGCCATGTTGAGTAAGAACTTGTCAGTTCTCTCACTTCACAGTATGGCTAAAGCACTGCCTTTGTAATATACTTTTGAAATAATGTTTGGAGATTTGCTGATAGGTTACAACACTAGCAGTGTAATGGGGTTATAAAAGTTTGAGTTCCTGCAGACCACTGTTTGTTTCAATGGTCTCCTCTTCTAGGGTGAGGGAGGTAAATTGTGTAGCAGCCCCGAAGCTTCCCTAACTGTGTGTCTGCAAGCATTAGACCAGCACTTAAGCCAATCAAGCTACATTGTGGGTCACGTGCCCACGCAAGCTGACACACTGGTACTTGAACGTATGGGCAAAGCATCACCTAAGAATGGTCCGCTTACGTCTTCCTATCCACACTTTACGAGGTGGTGGAGACATATTCAGAGTTTTGACTCTGATTTGAAGGATTTGCCACAGACAGATCTTTGTATTCTTAAACAGTTCAGCCTTCCTGATGCCAGACTATCTCAAGGGAATGTAAGGAGGTTTCTTGTAAAATGTAAATTTGATTATAAATTTAAAAGTGGGAGTCATACTTGGAATTTCACCTCTTTTATTTTGCATGATTGGTAGATTGCAGTGTGTTGTCCATCTATATTATATTGGTAGTCATTAATAAGCAACTCTTGTCAAAATTGTGATAATGTAGTCCTTGTTGCATGAATATTCCTTAACTATTATTTTAATTTTTCTTGTTAGTGAACCTCTCTTTTGTATTCATTTTGCCACGTTATATGTATAGTAATTGCTCTAACTATTCAACGTCAGTGATAATTTAAGATTATTTACTACTCCATTGAGGGTTTATTTACTGACCACTCTTGCTGAAAATTTCCTAGAGGTATCAGGTCTATAGATTTATCGTAAATATACTTAATCCCCTTTTTCTCTCTCCCTATAGATACAATAGAAAGTGTGTTAAGTGAATTTTAAGTTAAGCAAATTTGAGTTTTACCTAAACATCCATGTTATAACTGAAGATGAAGACTGGATTATAATGTATGCTAATTTCGTATATTTTATTGCTGAAATTACAGTGGAACCCCCGCATAACGATCACCTCCGAATGCGACCAGTTATGTAAGTGTATTTATGTAAGTGCGTTTGTACGTGTATGTTTGGGGGTCTGAAATGGACTAATCTACTTCACAATATTCCTTATGGGAACAAATTCGGTCAGTACTGGTACCTGAACATACTTCTGGAGTGAAAAAATATCGTTAACCGGGGGTCCACTGTACTGGTGAATTGTATGAAATTGCATAGTGAAGTATATTGCACTAATATCAGGTGCTCATCTGTACACACTGAGTGCTGTGTGTCTTGTTTACACAGTGAGAGGTTATTTCACTATTTTAGGAGCTTTCTTTGTTAACAACATTAACAATAAACATCAACAATAACAAAAACATCGCTAATAGGATTAGGATAGGATAGGGCATTAGGTGAGGGCATTATGGATTATATCTAAGACCATGAAAGAGGTTAGCTTGTTAAATGCTCGGGTTGCTTTAGCTGAAAAAACATCTGGCTTAGTTCACAAACTTTCCACTGGAAACTTGTTAGGTAAGAGACACATGCAACTGTTAGATACCTTTATTTCAAAACATTTCACCAAACAGAAGGGCCTTCTTCTGTCGAGTAAGAAAAGGTTGGTAGAATGGGTAATGGACTGTTCATGTCTTCAAGCTCTTCTTGCTTCTTCTACTTTCTGTATTCGACTGAAGAAGTCTACTGTGTAGGTGAAATGTTTCGAAATAAAGATACCTAACTGTTGCACATGTGTTTTACCTAACAACCTGTTGGTATTTTATACCATTTTAATATTCACACTGGAAACTTGTTAATTTCAACTCCTCCCATACTTTTTTTTTTTTTTTCATCACCTATTTTTTGTGATCCTTTGGTTTATCTCAAAGTGATACAGTGCTATGGTGGCTGACTCAGTCCACTTAAAAAAAAAATCTTGACGAAACCACAAAATTTTTTTACAATACTATTTTCTTCGTGAGATTCTAAATTCATTGAAGTTGGGTTTATAGATGTAGTATTATTGCATTAATGGGGAGTGCTAAACCCATAGGGGTCATACAGTGTCTGGGTAATGGGAGGTGATGAAATTTGATTCAAGGAAGAGTAGTTACAATTCCTAGGATCAAGAGTCCTTCAGGATCAAGGCAAAGGTACCTTGAACTCCTGCAAGTATAACAAAATTTTCTTCCAGATTGGGATTAATTTTTTTTGTTAATTTTGGCATTCATACAGAGGAGAGAAATTTGGCATGGAAAAATTTAGCAAGTATATTCTGATCCATATCCTTTGGGTAGGTTTCTATTGAGGGGTCAGCCACCAAACAGAAAACTAAAATAAACCAGAAAAAAAGGGGGGGGGGGACCTTGCAAGAAACCTGCAAATAAAAAAAATTTGTGGAAGATTTTTCACTAAAAGTGAATAAATGAAGCTTTAAAATTTTGAGGTTTGACTGCTACTTTGCTTGTAACAGAATTTTAAGTATAAGAGCTGGTTTTGCATCCTTGCTGGAGGTGGCAGCCCCTTCAAACTTACCCTCATCCTTGCTGGAGGTCACAGCCCCTTCAAACTTACCTGCCCTCACCTGCATGTAATCAAAGCATTGCATAGTACTCTACCTGCAAAAAAAAAAAAAAAAAATAAAGAATGCTTTTGTGGGCTAGAATCCTGGATTTTTTCTTAGTGTGTACCCTATCGCATGCTTTTATCTGTCTGGCCATTGTTGTCATTATCTTTATTTTCCTCTTAATCACGAGAATCATTTATGTACTCTACCTTCCATTGGTTTTGAAAGTTGAAATTGCCTTTTATCATTTCAACCAGAATCTTGTTGCTTCTATCTTCAAAAATCTGTATAAATAACAGGGCAGTTTATCAGTTCTCTGAAAAGCCCATTTCATGCTCCTTTGATGCCCCTTCATCCCTTACATATGCTGGCAGTAAACTCACTCAGTGGTTTTGGATGCTTGATCTTAATGAGTTCTCTAGTTATACTGTACTAGTGTAAACCTTGATTCCTAGTGAGACTCTTCCATACGTTGTGCCTTATCTTTTGTTATTTAGGATGAGGATTATTGCTGATTACTAATACACCTTGCAGGTCCTCTCAGAGCACCTGAGTCATGTTTATGATATATACATCTTTTAATTAATTTTTGTTATCCTCCTCCTTTGGTTCTCGTAATGTCATATCTGATTTTTTTTTTACAAGCGGATTAGAATCTTGTTTTGGAACATTTAAAACTTTTTGAAACCATTTTTTAAAGTTTCATTTTAATGATTTTCTTCTTCACGTTGTTCCAGAAATATGAAATTATTGCTAAGAGTCAGTTGAAGAAACTCACTAAACTCTGGAAAGATGTAAGTGTATGACTTTAAGTCTTTTATAATAAAACCCTTATTTTGAATAAGTAATTTACATAAAGAATAGTAGATTTTTTCATATTTAGCACTAAATAGAGAAATGTAAAGTACAATACAATACTATAGAAAATATTTTGTATACAAGATTGGCATAAAATTTTGAAGTAGAGAAAACATTATTTTAAGTGATATGCATACAGTGAAACAAATTAGTCATGTTAAAGATATTTGTATCTAATGAATCAATTTAAAAAGGATCTGTAGTTGTGACTTAAATACCACATATATTTTCTAGGAGTGTAAAAAACTTGAAGCTCGTCTTAAAAAAGAAAAGGAGGACGAGGAGAAATGGCGGACGAAGGCTCTTGAAGAGGCCAAAAAAGTGACTATATCAGAAGATCCAAGTTTACCTCCTGCTCTCTGTATCAAGATTAGAGATGGTAAACAGTATCGTAATAAGAGAGTTAAAGTTAATGGATGGGTTCATAGACTCAGAAGACAGGGTTAGTCTTTCTGCCTTTCTCTCTAGCATTCATGCCTTGCTAACACTTGTAACAACACTTGTAACATAATGTACCACTTTTTCTGCTTAACAAACTTAAAGTTGTCACTTGTTTGCATAAAAACTGGGGAACATCCAGTATGAGTGTAGAAAAAAAGTTCTTCTTTGTTCAGGATTTTCAGTGTTATTGTTTTTTTTCTTGAAAGCCAAGTGGCATATAATTTGTTCTAAACTTAAGTACTGTAATTACAATAGCTGACAGCAGTTCACGTGCAATTGTTCATGCTCAACTGTTTGAAAGTTTTAATATTTTCACTTTACTGTAAAAGGATATTTTTTTTAGGTTGAGTAATTGATATTATGTTTCAGGTAAAACTATGATGTTTATTGTCCTTCGTGATGGATCGGGATTCCTACAGACAGTTCTGACAGACAAGTTGTGTCAAACATATGAAGCTATAATTCTCACACTGTGAGTTTCTGGTCGCATTGTTATGGTACACTTCAAGAAGTTCCAGAGGGAAAGGAGGTAAGGATCTTGCCATTTTTTTTTATCTTCCCTGTGTACCTGTTTAAATGATGTTCATAAGATTTGTATGTCAGTGTGGTAAGGGCTTTTGGATCTATGGAATTAGTTACTCTTTCCATCGACGAAGGCTAATTACTTCCCATTCCTCAAGCACTGTATGGGCTGTAACAATTCTAACTGAATTTTTTTTATTACACTGGTCTCCCACCAAGGTAGGTTACCTGAAAAACAAGCACTTTCACCAGATACTGCACTTCAGATGCCCCTCCAAACTGCAGATATCCCTACCCTTCCTTCAGAGTGCAGGCACTGTAGTTTATAGTAAGATGGGTTATTGGTGGTTGAACAACAGAAGACAATGAATACAAGACAAAGAATACTAAAGAAAGGGGAAAGAAGGACAGTGTTTCAATCTTAGGTGATATTTTTCTATGCTGGCTGTCTCCACCAAAGTATGGCAATTGGAAAAAAATGGAAATGCATTCACCATCATTTGTTGAATAGCCATCTTGCCAGAAGACAGCAGACATCACAATTCAAATGAACTGCTGAACTGCAACATCCCCACTGCTCTTTTAGCCTTAAATATATATATATATATATATAATATATATATATATATTTATTAGTTAATCTATATATAATTTATATATATATATATATATATATTTTTTGAGATAAATATTTTTATTTAGATATAGTATTTTTATATACTATTTTATTATATATATATATTTTAGATATATTTTTACCCACTTTAGCATTGAAATCCCCAACCACCATACTCTCACACTTGATTCAAAACTCCCACGCATTCACTCAACATTTCCCAAAATCTCTCTCCTCTACACTTCTCTCTTCTCCAGGTGCATACACGCTTATTATAACCCACTTTTCACATCCAATCTTTATTTTACTCCACATAATCCTTGAATTAATACATTTATAGTCCCTCTTTTCCTGCCATAGCTTATCCTTCAACATTATTGCTACTCCTTCTTTAGCTCTAACTCTATTTGAAACCCCTGACCTAATCCCATTTATTCGTCTCCATTGAAACTCTCCCACCCCCTTCAGCTTTGTTGTTTCACTTAAAGCCAGGACATCCAGCTTCTTCTCATTCATAACTTCCACAATCATCTCTTTCTTATCGTTTGCACAACATCCATGCACATTCAGACTTCCCACTTTGACAATTTTCTTCTTCTTATTCTTTTTAGTAATCTTTACAGGAAAAGGGGTTACTAGCCCATTGTTCCCAGCATTTTAGTTGACTTTTACAACACGCATGGCTTACAGAGGAAAGATTCTTATTCCACTTCCCCATGGATATAAAAGAAAAGTAATAAGACCAAGAACTATTAAGATAAAATCAAAGAAAACTCATATGAGTGTGTATAAATAAACGTGTACATGTATGTGTAGTGTGACCTAAGTGTAAGTAGAAGTAGCAAGACATACCTGTAATCTTGCATATTTATGAGACAGACAAAAGACATCAGCAATCCTACCATCACAGGCTTTCGTTTTACACTCACTTGGCAGGACGGTGGTACCTCCCTGGGTGGTTGCTGTCTACCAACCTACTACCTACTCATATCTAGGATTAAATTTACTGAGTTGAGCTCGTGACGTAAAACTACGGGACTGACCCGGGCTTCAAAACCGTAGTTCTATTGGACCGACCCTAAAAGGATTAATACTGCAGCTGGCTACATGAACACTTGATAATGCAGCTGGCTACATGAACACTTGATAATGCAGCTGGCTACTTTCTTTCAACACACCAGCCGTATCCCACAGAGGCGGGGTGGCCCAAAAGGATAAACAAAAGTTTCTCCTTTTACATTTAGCAATATATACAGGAGAAGAGGTTACTAGGCCCTTGCTCCCGGCATTTTAGTCGCCTCTTACAACACGCATGGCTTACGGAGGAAGAAAATTCTGTTCCATTTCCCCATGGAGGTAATAGGAAATAAACAAGAACAAGAACTAGAAAGTGAAGAAAACCCAGAGGGATGTGTATATATATGTTTGTACATGTATGTGTAGTGTGACCTAAGTGTAAGTAGAAGTAGCAAGACATACCTGAAATCTTGCATGTGTATGAGACAGAATAAAAAGACACCAGCAATCCTACCATCATGTAAAACAATTGCAGGCTTCCGTTTTACACTCACTTGGCAGGATGGTAGTACCTCCCTGGGTGGTTGCTGTCTACCAACCTACTACCTAGGCAGCTGGCTACATGGACACTTAATACTGGAGCTGGCTGCATGAACATTTAATACTGCAGCTGGCTACTTGACTCTCCTACTTTTGCCTAACTGATTTAAGCTTGAAAATTACCACTGCCAAAGAATCTAGACAACTTTGTAATTTTTGGATGCTTTTTTCCTTAGGTTCTGCGGTTGCGTTCCATTTTAATGAAGGCCTTTGTGGACCACTACAGTGATCGAGGGTACGAGTGGATGTCACCACCTACAATGGTTCAAACACAGTGTGAAGGAGGCTCGACTCTATTTGATTTTAATTTCTTCGGTGAAAAGGCTTACCTCACACAATCCAGTCAGCTTTACCTTGAAACTTGCATTCCCAGGTAATGATTAATAACATACATGTAGTCATTATTATGCCATCAGTAATCAGTTTCTTTTTTTATAAGTATTCCTGTTTCTTTGTTATATTAATAATTATATACAGAAGAAGGATTACTAACCCCATGTTCTTGCTATTGTCACCTGATTGATGAGATCATTGACCAGGAGGGCTGGCCTGGAACTGCGGTGCTGAGGTGATGAACCCAAGAATCAGTTACAGGTAAACCTTCTACCTGTAATTTGAGGGTTGCAACCCCTACTCACAAACTTGCTCACAGGGTTGAAGAATTTAAAAAAAAAATATTTTTTTCTTATGAAATGATAGAGAATCTTTTTCTGAAGGTAATGAAACCAAAAGCGTGAAAATTGATGGAAAACTTATGGAATTATGCTTTTGTGAAGTTAGCAGTCTTGGCAATATTTATGCACCGGTGATTTTGCCCATCTTGAGCTCTGTTTTGGGTCAGTTCCATTGTTCCAGTCAACCAAACTTGTAGCTATTTCACTAGAACTCCTTTTATTCTATCGACTGAGTACAAGAAACTGCCCATTTACCTATTTCAGCTATCTAATGGTGATCAGAAATTACTAATTTGGCCAATTTCACAAAATTCAAGAAAGACCAATTTCAAAATAGGGTCCAGAATAAATAATGCAGACATTTCTGGCACTAAAATAACATTTTATCTGTTCATTAGTCACATCTGCAAGCCTCTCTTATATTATGCTTGCTTTTCATTTTGAATTTTTATTTACACAAAAAATAAAGAATTACTGTTATTTAGACTAATACATAATTTTAATAACTGTATAAATAATATCAGTGCATTTGTGAATACATATTAGACCACCCAGCTGATGTGTATTGGACGTGTGATGTGATATGTTTACTCTTGAACATTGGCAAAAATCGAACATTTCCGCTAATTTGAGCTCAAATTCAAGCTACTTTAGTCTGTAAACCATTCAGAATAATTTCTATTTCTGTAATATATCTTCGGTTGAACGAGACCAAGAAAACTAGAATACAGCCATAAACACCATATGAAAATACACTGCAAATTCGCTGTTTTAAACCAAACGCATGGTTGCAGTTTTTTTTGTTATGCACTGCGTGGTGCAGGATTTTTTTTTATACTGTGCACACTGGTCACACAGACCCATTCTCTCACATGTAGGCCTACCAGCTTTTTCCTCCAAGGTTTGAAGCTGCTAGAATTTTGGCATAGTATTACAGGACCAACACTTACTTCAAAGCCATAATATTATGGGACTGACGCCAAAGGGGTTAGGAAATTCTACGAAGATAAGAAACCTTAAGAATTTTTTTTTATTATTAACACATTGGCTGTTTCCCACCAAGGTAGCGTGGCCCAAAAAAGAAAAACTTTCATCATAATTCACTCCATCACTGTCTTTCTAGAGGCACACTTACACTACAGTTATAAAACTGCAACATTAGCACCCTTCCTTCAGAGTGCAGGCATTATACTTCCCATCTCCAGGACTCAAGTCCGGCCTGCTGGTTTCCCTGAATCCCTTCATAAATGTTACCTTGCTCACACTCCAAGAGCATGTCAAGTCCTAAAAACCATTTGTCTCCATTCACTTATATCTAACACACTCACTCATGCTTGATGGAAGTCCAAGCCCCTCGCACACAAAGCCTCCTTTACCCTCTTCCTCCAACTTTTCCTAGGCCAACCCCTACCCTGTCTTCCTCCACTACAAATTTATATACTGTACTTTTGAAGTCATTCTATTTTGTTCCGTCCTCTCTACATGTCCGAACTACCTCAACAACCCCTCCTCAGCCTTCTGGATAATAGTTTTGGTAATCCCACACCACCTAATTTCCAAACTATGAATTCTCTGCATTATATTCACACCACACAATGCCCTCGGACATGACATCTCCACTGCCTTCAGCCTTCTCCTTGTTGCAACATTCACCACCCATGCTTTACACCCATATAAGAGCATTGGTATAACTACTGTCATACATTCCCCTCTTTGCTTCCATGAACAAAGTTCTTTGTCTCCACAGACTCCTCAGTGCACCTCTTGCCTTTTCTTTTTCCCCTTGTTAATTCTATGATTCACTTTGTCTTTCATAGACTCATCTGCTGACATGTCCACTCCTAAATATCTGAATACATTCACCTCCTCCATACTCTCTCTCTCTCTCTCTCCAATCTGATATCCAAGTTTTTGTTACCTAATTTTTTTTTGTTATCCTCATTACCTTGCTCTTTCCTATATTCACATACAATTTTCTTGTTTTATATACCCTACCAAACTCATCCACCAACCTCTGCAACTTCTCTTCAGAATCTCCCAAAAGCACAGTGTTATCAGCAAAGAGCAAATGTGACAATTCCCACTTTGCCAGCATCCAAGCATTCACTTCTCTTACAACTCCATCTATAAATATATTGAACAACCACAGTGACATCACACATCCTTGTCTAAGGCCTACTTTACTGGGAAATGGTCTCACTCTCTCCTACATACTCTAACACGAGCCTCGCTATCATTGTAAAAAGTCTTCACTGCTTTCAGTAAGCTACATCCCATTCCATACATTTGCAACATCTGCCACATTGCCCCCCTATCCACCCTGTTGTGTGCCTTTTCCAAATCCATAAATGCCACAAAAACCTCTTTACCCTTATCTAAATACTGTTCACCAATATATTTCACTGTAAACACTTGGTCTACACACCCCCTACCTTCCTAAAGCCTCCTTGTTCATCTGCTATCCCACTTTCCATCTTACTCTTAATTCTTTCAACAATAATTCTACTCAAACTGAGCCGTGGGGGCATTGACCCCTGAAATCCTCTCCAGGCAAACTCCAGGTACACCTTACCATGTATACTGAACAGACTTCCCCTATAATTTTTGCACTCTCTTTTGTCCCCTTTGCCTTTATACAAAGGAACTATGCATGCTCTCTGCCAGTCCCTAGGTGCCTTACCCTCTTTCATGTATTTCTTAAGAGATACTTAACATAATTTTTTATCCCCACAGATGCTTTGATGCACCACCCATCTTTTTTCCTCTCATCAATTCTGTAGTTTACCTTGCCTCTCATAGACCAGGTCCTGCTCAGGCTGTAAGCTGTCTCCCTTTCCCTCCCGATTAATGACCACTTCCTTGTGCAGCGACCACATATTTATAAATACATTTTTTGCAGGTCTTCACAGATGATCCTTTATTAGTTATTTTGCACATCAGCAGTCAACTGTTTTCATAATATTTGCCTCACCAATTAAAACATGAGGAAAAAGGGTATAATCTTTATATACAGTAGACTCATAATTTAAGCAACAGTAACTTGTATTTTCAGTAACTCTTGAAATTTTGTGTCCAAGACCCTAAATTGTACACGAAAAACTACTTATGTACGTGTCAAAAGATGGCAAGAAAATCTAGCATGACACTGTAGGTGTCTTAGAAAATTTAGGTAAACATGTTTTGAGGTGTATAGTGGTGAGAGAGACGTATAAAGGCTGATACCCTATAATTACAATACGAGTACAAATTCCAGTGCCTTAACAATCATTTATCTACACTAGCTCTTGTTTATACAGTTGCTGATTATGCCGTGATTGATAATGCGCTGTAGTGTAAAAAAAGTTATTAAATAAGAGAGCTGTGTAGTGATGATATAGTGGTGAGTGTATCAGTGTACTGGGTGGCTGCAGGAAATTTCTCTGATCAAGTTTGTGACCCAGAAGAGCCACTTCAACCATCTCTACACACTTCTGTAGAAATAAGGATGAAGAACAAGGAACTGAAGGAAATATATAGTTCTTTCATTTCACATTTTTAGCTAATTTTAATGATCAATAAACAATGACAGCAACAATTTTAGGTGATGAAAGCTATTGATTTAAAAAGTAAAAAACTTCTTTGGCTTTTTTCGACATGTCAAGAATGCAACCCTATTTTTCATGTGTGTTGTTCACACCATGAGTTGTGAGTTCATAAGTAGTGCCAATTACCAGGAATATAATCCACATGGATTATGATTGCTGGGACCAGCTCTGCCCTCTGGCCAACTAATACCATAAATATATTATATTGGAAATGCAGGTTTATAATACCAAGGCTTGTGGATACTTCCTCTGACAAACTCTGGGCTTTTACTTCCTCAGTAAGGATGCTGTTTTTTGGTAGTGTTGGCATCCAGCTCTTGAGACACTTGCTTAATGTCTGTCCTGCCATTCAACATTGTAACACAGGTAATGACCAAGTGTACTCAAGTGGTGTGTAGGTGAAGAGAAAAAAAAAGAAGGGAATTAGTATATTTTTAAGCAAATGTAGTATTTTTGTACTTTATATGTATTTTATTTAAAAATGCCATTAAAACTGAGTATAATTGATATTCTCTACCAAGTGTCTTAAGGATGACAGTCATTAAAGAGATTACTCTTATATTAAAAGGTTTACACTTCAGGAAAATGTATATTGTTGAATGCCTTTAAAAGCAATGTGAAATGCTAGCATTTTTGATACTGTCTTTGATTTTCAACAGTTTCGGTGATGTGTATTGCATAGAGCAGTCTTATAGAGCAGAACAGTCGCGGACGCGCCGTCATCTGGCTTCCTATACTCATATTGAAGCTGAATGTGCCTTTATCACTTTCAGTGAATTATTAGATCGTATTGAAGACTTGGTTAGTATATTGTATTTGTTGTTAAAGATATGCTCTTGTTTCTACAGTTTTAAGAAAAAATGTCAATATCTTAGAACTAGTAATAGTATCATATTCTAGTTCTGCATGTAATGGTTTATTTCATATACTGCCATGTCCCACCAAGGCAGGGTGACCTGAAAAAGAAACACTTTCACCACCATTCATTCCATCACTGTCTTGCCAGAGGTGCACTGATACTATAGTTCAAAACTGCAATTATCCTCACCTCTTCTTCAGAGTGCAGGCACTGTACTTCACTGAATTCCTTCATAAATGTTACCTTGCTCATGCTCCAACAGCATGTCAAGTCATAAAAACCACTTGCCTCCACTCCTTTTTAACATGCTCACATGTGCCTGCTGGATGTCTAAACCCCTCACACACAAAACCACCTTTACCCCCTCCCTTCAACATTTCCTAGGACAACCTCTACCCCACCTTCCCTACACTACAGATTTATACACCCTCCAAGTCATCCTAGTTTGTTCCCTCCTCTCTAAATATCCTCTTCAGCCTTCTGGATAGTACTTTTAGTAACACTGCACCTTCACCTAATCTCCAAGCTGTGTATTCTGTGCATAGTATTCACACTACGCATTGCCATCAAACATAACATCTCCACTGCCTCCAGCCTACTTCTTGATGGAACATTCACAACCCAGGCTTACACCCATATAAGAGCATTGGTACCTTGTTAAATTTATCTTAGTATTTAAAGCAACAAAACTGTACCATAAATCAGGGGAAGAGGAGAAAGAGAATTCTACATGAGATCAAAGACATTCCAATGAGTGAGCAAATCTCGCCTTTACAACTGAATCATTTTTGCTCTTTTCCTTTCTCTTTCTTTCCCCCTTTTTTCCCCTCTTTTCATTTCCTGCTGGTTTCTTTAATACAATTAATTAGAAGCCTGGCCATGGACTGAGACATGGAGGTGTTGACTCCCAAAAGACCCTCCAGTTGTACTCCAAAGTGTGTCAAAGTAGTATTGATATTTGTGTGTATTGTCTATTTTTATGGTATTGATATCTATATTGGAATTAGTGAAGAAGTTGCTGATACCAGCTGATACTTTTAAAATGTTAATTTGAATGTTCTTTTAAAAACAGTAAAATTAACTCATACTTCACAATTACAGGGGTTACCCACATTACATAAACTAACACACAAAAGAACACAGTACACACAGTCATATGTGACTCAAATCATTGTGCTCCCTGGACACTGACTCGGCAAAGACTTTGTTCGGAAAAATGTTCTTAGAGTGATGCCATTTCCTGCATCCCACACAGCAGCACACATCAGTGAGATTATTCAAGAAGCATTGTATAAATACAATATATCAGCTTCCAAAATTCATTTGATATTGTGGAATAATGGTGCCATTGTTGTCAAAGGAATTTAAGGTACAGGACACAGCAGTTTACCATGCTTTCTAGTTCACTTCATTCCAGGGCAGAGACTAATAAAAGACATCATTGCTAATAGTAGGTAAATAGTGAGTCACTTGAGTTACTCTTCTCTAGTCTGCGGTAAACTAGAGATTCTTCAGAACAAAATGAACTACTGAAGCACCAGCTCATTCAGAATATATCAACCCTCTGGGATAACACTTGTACAATGTTAGAATGCATCTATGAACCCTCCCCCCCCCCCCCAAAAAAAAAAAGCCATTGCAGTATATTGCTTACATAACATGACTTTCATCATTGGATGGAAAAAAGTGGAATCTTATTGCAAAGTTATTTTGTTCATCCTAGGTAGTAGGTTGGTAGACAGCAATCACTCAGGGAGGCACTACCGTCCTGCCAAGTGAGTGTAAAACGGAAGCCTGTACTTGTTTTGCATGATGTTAGGATTGCTGGTGTCTTTTTTTTTTGTCTCATAAACATGTAAGATTTCAGGTATGTCTTGTTACAATGGTACCCCGAGTTTCGTACAGCTCCAAACTCGAACATTCATATAAGTGTATTATTGTGAGTGCTTTTATAAGTGTATTTTTGGGGGTCTGGAACTAATCTAATTTACATTATTCCTTATGGGAACAAATCAGTTCGGTAACAGCACTCGAACAGCCTTCTGGAACGAATTATGGACGAAACTCTGGGTACCACTGTACTTCTATTTACACTTAGGTCACACTACACATGTATGTACAAGCATATATATATACACCCCTCTGAGTGTTGTTCTATTTTTTTACTAGTTCTTGTTTTTATTTCCTCTGATCTCCATGGGGAAGTGGAACAGAATTCTTCCTCCGTAAGCCACACGTGTTTTAAGAGTCGACTAAAATGCCGGGAGCAAGGGGCTAGTAACCCCTTCTCCTGTATACATTACTAAAGTTAAAAAGAGAAACTTTTGTTTTTCTCTTTGGGCCACCCTGCCTCGGTGGGAAATGGTCAATTTGTTGAAAGAAGAAGAAACGTGCAAGATTTCTTGTTCATCTTGCTAGTTCTCCTTACACTTAGGTCACACTACACGTACATATACAAGCATATATATACACACCCCTCTGGGTTTTCTTCTATCTTCTTACTAGTTCTTGTTCTTGTTTATTTCTGCTTATCTCCATGGGAAAGTGAAACAGAATTCTTCCTCTGTAAGCCATGCATGTCGTAAGAGTCGACTAAAATGCCGGGAGCAAGGGGCTAGTAACCCTTTCTGTATATATTACTAAATTTAAAAGGAGAAGCTTTTGTTTTTCCTTTTGGGCCACCCTGCCTCAGTGGGATATGGCCGGTTTGTTGAAAGATTTTGTTCATTGAAAACATTTCACAGAAAAAATAGTGAAAAAAATTGTCTGGTCATAGAAATACTGTTTCAAGTGTGTACAATATTTGAAACATTTCCTCAACAAAGGTTGAGTGATACAAGGTTTTCAGGCTTGAGTAGCAGACTGTCATCTTTTAGTACCACAGTTTAATTGTATTTAGATTTTATTAACACTGGAAGAATTTTTCCGTAAGTTGAATATAAATGCTATTTATAATTTGTAATTTTGTGAATCTTGCACAAATCCAATCTCCCTTAATGTGAGGGATTTACTCTAGAATGTGCCAATGGCATTGAGATAGTAAGTGGAAAGTTGTTCATTTAGGAATTTAAAATTTAGACATGTATCTGTACGAGAATTTATAGTCAGGCGATGTGGCTGTTTCATTATTAGACTACAGGAAATCAAAGTTTAAAAAGTAATTGATTACTGTAAACATAAAATTATATTTTCTCTGTTTAAAATGCCTTGAAAAATAATAATTTGTTGTAGTGTATGTATTAAGAGCAATATTTATTTGGTAGATATGTGATGTGGTAAAGAGAGTAGTGGAACACCCAGTGGGTAGTCAACTAATGAAGGAGTTGCACCCAGAGTTTGTAGCACCCTCAAAACCCTTCCTCAGGTTGACTTACTCGGATGCTATCAAGTACCTCAAGGAGCATAACATTACCAAGGAAGATGGATCTTACTATCAATATGGAGAGGTAAGTAGTAGCTATACTAATGTACATTAATTTCAGATGTCACTTGTTTGTTAATGATTTCATTTTGTGCTAGGTAAATACAGGTTATTAAACTTAACATTTTTCCAGTTCAGTCAGAATACACCATTATCAATATTATTATTATTATTATTATCATTAATCATCATCAGTATCATTGATGTTGCTGCTGCTGCTGCTGCTGCTGCCGCCGCCACCACCACCGCCGTGTCATACTTAATTGTAGTTACAAGAGTAAAGCTGTGATAGTTATTTCTTGTTTTTGCTTAATTTATTGTATTATTGTATAAATGTGCCAGCAGTTGTAGCACTTGCCACTTGTGCTTCGTAATCTAGTGTTCTACCACTGTTTATGATGACATTCTTTCTAGTATTTTTTTTAATCAGTTTTCTGAGTTTACAATTGTGAATTTTTATTTGCCTGATGATAGTGCAAGAATAAGATCTCTGCTTATTTTTTATATTATATTTTTTTTTTTGTTATGCCTTTTCTTCCTGCCACTACGAGGGCATCTTTAGCTCTTTGTCTTGCCTTATAATATGTAGAGTTCTTAACTGTAAACCATTTTGTAATCTGCATGTATTTTCTGTTATATCTTCATTATTGTTTGGTGTGTTTCACACTACCTCTATATAATTCCATATTTGGTCTAATGTATTTTGATAAACAATCTTTGATCCATATTTTTAAAAGCAGTGTGACCCAGAGAGAGAGGGCAGTAAAATATCCTTTTTCTTTTTTAGTAATTATACAGAAAAAAGTATTTTTTAAAGGATTATAGTCATCTCGGTGTGTTATTATGTAATACTAATATTTTTTCTGGGGTCGAAAAAAAAAAAATACCGGGTCCAGTTGTATATTATTGTTACATTTAACAGGATATTCCAGAGATGCCGGAAAGAAAAATGACTGATCAGATTGGGAAGCCAATTCTGCTCAACAGGTTTCCAGCTGGTATAAAAGCCTTCTACATGTCCAAGTGTGAGGATGATAATTCACTTACAGAATCGGTATGTTTCAATTTTTTTTTGTTTGCCTGGATTACTTGTCACTCTGGGAATGCATTGTGTACAGGAGGGCCCTGTTTTTTAGGTGGCTGGGTTACTGACCCCTGCTGATAAGTGAAAATCGCTGGTGAGTGGAGCATAGTGTTTTTTTGCTATCGAATGCATATAAAATGCCTGATAACATGTTTACATTATCATATATTAAGTGCTCAATACAGGCCTAAAAAACAAAGATAGGAAAGTAAAATGAATATACAGCACTTACAAAACTTACCTTAAAATATGGCGCCAGACGTTTTTCCCTGACACATCTGTTACATGAAATGAACGATGACACAGTTGAAAACTGCCGAAATAGCAGGACACCGAAAAGAGAGACCGAAACAAAGGGCCTTCCTGTATTATTAGCTTATGACTTAATTTTTTTAATCATGCTAAACTCGCATTAGGATTCTACTGAGAAATTCCATTGCCTCTGGTTGATAGTGTGAATGATGGTGAAAACTGTCTTTTACAGGTCACCCTGCCTTGGTGGGAGACAGCCAGAGTGTTAAAAAAATATTATACACATTCCTCTGTGAATAAGAAGCATGAATGTACGTTATAAATAGTCACCTGCAAACACTAGGAAGTTGTGAAGGTGTTACGGGTGTCATTATCTATTTAAGATTGCAGAGAGTGAGCTGCAGCTCTTGGTCCCTGTCTCTTTAACTTTTGACTGACTGACATGAGTGAGCCAGTCATATCCATCTGTGAAGCTGTGTGGAGTTCACTTCTACTGTCTCATTGCTCAGCTCATTCTACTTATTTTGTTTTAAACACTCTACAATGAGAAATAATAATCTTTTTTTCTATTTTTGTAATATTTAATGCATAGCTTTCAGGACCAGGAAAGAATTCTTTTCTGCTTCCAATGGAGTTTTGTATGTAAATATCCAAACCGTATTTTCTTACTCTTGTTGCCTCTTGGTAAAGAGGTGATCCATGTCTAGTATTTTGTTGTTCTTTGCTCCTTCAGTAGCATAAAGTCTGTTTTCCATTCTAAGTCGCTCATTCACCTCGGATCATGTACCAGTCTTGTGCTCTCTGGCAACACTCAAGTTTTTTTTTTTGTTTTTGTTTTGCTAGGTGTGGGTTTCACTCAACATTGTGTACTGGAGTATGTCTAGTTTTCTGCCACTCGTAGGTTTGCAAACTTAGCTTTTTGTGTGTTAATGTTATTCTGTTTAGGTTTATAATAATGGTTATTTGAAATTTTTTTTTTTACCTAGGTGTTTCTGTGAGCTTTAGTTTTATCAGCATCTTTCTCTGTTTTTTAGCCACCGTTACTCCCAGCTTCCTGCTTTGCTTTTGCTAGCAGTTAAATTCATAACCATTTATTCTGATCATTATGTGGAAATCTGTCAGATTTTTTGTCTTCTTTTATCTTCTTCACTTTCGTTATTTTCATTTATACATACCTGATAGTTCATCAGTATATGTAAACACTTGCAAAAATACAACAATGACCCGGGTTAATATAACAATGACCCGGTTTAATATAACAGTTGACCAAGTTAATATAACAATGAACAGGTTAATTTAACAATGACCTGCTCTAACCCTTCGCGGGTCCAGCCGTAGATCTATGCCTTGTCTACAGTGGTCCAAGAAATTTAAAAAACAAAAATTAGTTATTTTTTTTTATGAAATAGTTAGAGAATCTTTTTCTGAAGGTCGTTTTTAAACAAAATGTATGAAATTTGATGGAATTTTACTGTGTCAGCGATTATTTACACATCAGTGATTTTGTTCCACTTTGACTCCTATTTTAGGTGATTTACTTATTCCAGTAGAACCAAATTTCTTGCCTGTTTCATGGTTTTACTTCTATTTTTCTTGATGTGGCACAAGAAACTGCCCAATCAACTATTTCAACTACCCAGTGAAGTGGTCAGAAATTGGTAATTTGATAATTTCACACCAAGTTCAAAATATTACAATTTCAAAAATAAGTCCAGAATTAACAGGCATTCCTGTGGGCACTAAAATAACATTACCTCTGTTTATTAGTTATGTTTCCAGGCTTTACACATGAATTCCATTTTGACTTTATTTACATAAAAAATTTTTATTCTAACATAGAAATAGAGGATTTCTGTTAGTCAACTGTAATAAAATCAGTGCATTTGTGATCGTTATATTAGGCCCACCAGTTGACTTGTTATTGGATGTGTGATGTCCATTTGTTTACTCTTGAACATCGGCAAAAATCGAATGTTTACACTACTTTGAGCTCAATTTCAAAGCTATTTCAGTACGTCTAAAAAAACAATCAAAAAATCATCTTTTTTTTCTATAATATGTCATCCATTTTATCAAAATGAGACCAAGGAACGCGAATACAAAAGTAAAACATTACGAAAAATACACCGCAAAAGTCGCAGATGTTTGAATCCTAAAACATGGTCACAGTTTTTTTCAATTATGCACTGCATGTTGGCAGGATTTGTTTTATGTGGTGGACAACCCCCCCCCCCCCCTTTCCACATAGTACATTTTCTCATATCTAGGCCAAATTTAACCACCTCCACAGCTTATCTGTGTGAGCTGAGGATATTTGTGTACAAACTATGGCTTGGACTGTGGGAAATGGATTGATCCTACGGATTGACCCTCAAAGGGTTAATATAACAATGACCATGGTTAATATAACTTGGGATAACTTAAAAGTATTAATGTAATCAGTATTTCTTTATTTAATGTGATTTCTGCTTTTTGAAAATAAATACATGTATAATTCAGAATATGCATACCATAGTATATATATGGACGAGTCCCTGATCAATATAATATAGTACAAGGTTTTTTTTTTCAGTTGTCTGTCTCCACCGAGGCAGGGTGACCCAAAAGAAAGAAAATCCCCCAAAATAAATACTTTCATCATCATTCAATACTTTCATCTCACTCACGCATATCACTGTTTTTGCAGAGGTTGCCAGGATACAAACAGTTTGAGAAGCATATATTTATAAAGATACACAACATATCCCTCCAAACTGCTAGTATTCCCGACCCTCCTTTAGAGTGCAGGCATTGTACTTCCCATTTCCAGGACTCAAGTCCGGCTATATAAAAATAACTGGTTTCCCTAATTTTTTTTTTTTTTTTTTTTTTTTTTTTTTTTTTTCCCAACAAGTCGGTCGTCTCCCACCGAGGCAGGGTGACCCAAAAAAGAAAGAAAATCCCAAAAAGAAAATACTTTCATCATCATTCAACACTTTCACCACACTCACACATTATCACTGCTTTTGCAGAGGTGCTCAGAATACAACAGTTTAGAAGCATATACGTATAAAAATACACAACATATCCTCCAAACTGCCAATATCCCAAACCACTCCTTTAAAGTGCAGGCATTGTACTTCCCATTTCCAGGACTCAAGTCCGACTATATGAAAATAACGGTTTCCTGAATCCCTCCACTAAATATTACCCTGCTCACACTCCAACAGATCGTCAGGTCCCAAGTATCATTCGTCTCATTCCACTCCTATCTAACACGCTCATGCACGCTTGCTGGAAGTCCAAAGCCCCTCGCCCAAAACCTCCTTTACCCCCTCTTTCCAACCCTTTCGAGGACCCCTACCCCTTTCCTTCCCCTATAGATTTATATGCTTTCCATGTCATTCTACTTTGATCCATTCTCTCTAAATGACCAAACCACCTCAACAACCCCTCTTCTGCCCTCTGACTAATGCTTTTATACTCCACACCTTCTCCTAATTTCCACACTCCGAATTTTCTGCATAATATTTACACCACACATTGCCCTTAGACAGGACATCTCCACTACCTCCAACCGTTTCCTCGCTGCTGCATTTACCACCCAAGCGTCACATCCATATAAGAGTGTTGGTACTACTATACTTTCATACATTCCCTTCTTTGCCTCCATAGATAACGTTTTTTGACTCCACATATACCTCAACGCACCACTCACCTTTTTCTCCTCATCAATTCTATGATTAACTCATCCTTCATAAATCCATCCGCCGACACGTCAACTCCCAAGTATCTGAAAACATTCACTTCTTCATACTACTCCTCCCCAATTTGATATCCAATTTTCTTTTTCTAAATCATTTGATACCCTCATCACCTTACTCTTTTCTATGTTCACTTTCAACTTTCTACCTTTACACACATTCTCAAACTCATCCACTAACCTTTGCAATTTTTCTTTAGAATCTCCCATAAGCACAGTATCATCAGCAAAAAGTAACTGTGTCAATTCCCATTTTGAATTTGATTCCCCATAATTTAATCCCACCCCTCTCCCGAAACACCCTAGCATTTACTTCTTTACAACCCCATCTATAAATATATTAAACAACCATGGTGACATTACACATCCCTGTCTAAGACCTACTTTTACCGGAAGTATTCTGCCTCACTTCTACACACCCTAACCTGAGCCTCACTATCCTCATAAAAGCTCTTTACAGCATTTAGTAACTTACCACCTATTCCATAAACTTGCAACATCTGCCACATTGCTCCTCTATCCACTCTATCATATGCCTTTTCTAAATCCATAAATGCAATAAAAACTTCCCTACCTTTATCTAAATACTGTTCACAAATATGCTTCAATGTAAACACTTGATCTACACATCCCTTACCCACTCTGAGCCTCCTTGCTCATCCGCAATTCTACATTCTGTCTTACCTCTAATTCTTTCAATTATAAACCCTACCGTATACTTTTCCTGGTATACTCAGTAAACTTATTCCTCTATAATTTTTACAATCTCTTTTGTCCCCTTTCCCTTTATATAAAGGGACTATACATGCTCTCTGCCAATCCCTAGGTACTTCCCTCTTTCATACATTTATTAAACAAAAGTACCAACCACTCCAACACTATATCCCCCCTGCTTTTAACATTTCTGTCATGATCCCATCAGTTCCAGCTGCTTTACCCCCTTTCATTCTACGTAATGCCTCACGTACCTCCACCA